CAGGATCCATAGGTCAGGATCTATAGGGGTCAGGATCTATAGGGGTCAGGATCTATAGGTCAGGATCTATAGGTCAGGATCTATAGGTCAGGATCCATAGGTCAGGATCTATAGGGTCAGGATCTATAGGGGTCAGGATCTATAGGGGTCAGGATCTATAGGGGTCAGGATCTATAGGTCAGGATCTATAGGTCCGGATCTATAGGGCAGGATCCATAGGTCAGGATCTACAGGGGTCAGGATCTATAGGGGTCAGGAGCTATAGGTCAGGATCTATAGGTCCGGATCTATAGGGCAGGATCCATAGATCAGGATCTATAGGGGTCAGGATCTATAGGGCAGGATCTATAGGATCTATAGGTCAGGATCTATAGGGGTCAGGATCCATAGGTCAGGATCCCTAGGTCAGGATCTATAGGTCAGGATCTATAGGGGTCAGGATCCATAGGTCAGGATCCCTAGGTCAGGATCTATAGGTCAGGATCTATAGGGGTCAGGATCCATAGGTCAGGATCCCTAGGTCAGGATCTATAGGTCAGGATCTATAGGGGTCAGGATCCATAGGTCAGGATCCCTAGGTCAGGATCTATAGGTCAGGATCTATAGGGGTCAGGATCCATAGGTCAGGATCCCTAGGTCAGGATCTATAGGTCAGGATCTATAGGGGTCAGGATCCATAGGTCAGGATCCCTAGGTCAGGATCTATAGGTCAGGATCTATAGGGGTCAGGATCCATAGGTCAGGATCCCTAGGTCAGGATCTATAGGTCAGGATCTATAGGGGTCAGGATCCATAGGTCAGGATCCCTAGGTCAGGATCTATAGGTCAGGATCTATAGGGGTCAGGATCCATAGGTCAGGATCCCTAGGTCAGGATCTATAGGTCAGGATCTATAGGGGTCAGGATCCATAGGTCAGGATCCCTAGGTCAGGATCTATAGGTCAGGATCTATAGGGGTCAGGATCCATAGGTCAGGATCCCTAGGTCAGGATCTATAGGTCAGGATCTATAGGGGTCAGGATCCATAGGTCAGGATCCCTAGGTCAGGATCTATAGGTCAGGATCTATAGGGGTCAGGATCCATAGGTCAGGATCCCTAGGTCAGGATCTATAGGTCAGGATCTATAGGGCTCACCCAGGTGTGGGTAATACTCCGAGGGCTCCTCGGCCCCGCCCCCGCTCGAGTCGTGGCTCGGGGACGGCGTCGGCGGCTTCACCATCTCGGCCGTCTGCAGGAACCTGGGGTCATCGGGGTCATCGGGGTCATCCAGGGGTCA